CTTGCTCCCCAGCTGTTGGGGTGGAGGCAGGCACAAAGCCAAATCAGCCTCCAAATTTGTCACAGCACCTGCCGGTCTGCTCCTGGGGAGGCTGCGGAGGCCTGCCCAGCAGCAACAGTGGTTGCTGGGGTGCAAACATTTATCTGCAGCTGGCTGGAGCCTGGCAGCCATTGCATGCAAGGGCAATGATTTAAGAAAGTTGCTGGCAGGCACATTTGGGAGTTGGGCCACTGGCAGGACATCAGGATGGCTGCTCCATCCACCTGACACTGTGGTGCCAGCAGCAAGCTGGTACCTGCATTCCTATGCATGGCCCGCCACCACCTTGTCCTTCAGGTGCCACCAGATGGACCTTGCACAGCAGCTTCATTCCCATTGCAATGGATTGTTATGAACACGGAGGTAGACGGTGTAGTGAGGAGCAATGGCTGCAGTTCGTGTGTTTTGGCAAGGAATCTGCCTCTCTGACTGAGCTCCCACCACCACGCTGCCCCCCTTGGAGCTGGACTGGAGAACTGTATGGAAAAGGTGTGCCTGCAGGGCTGAAATTGCCACCGGGAAAGTGGGAAATGTTATAGCCGAAGAATGGTGATGGGGTCTGCTGGTTCTTGGGAAGGCATCAATCAGGGCAGCATGGGATTGTAGGACAATCTCACTGGCTCCAGGCAACGTGCAGGGAGAAAAGTCTAAACTATTACCAGTGTTAGTGGCAGTGAAAAGAGCAGTTCATACTTCACATAGCCAAAATTTTAGGTTGTCTGCAAACTGTGGAAAACTGCTTTGCCAATCAGTTTCCTAGCTTGTTCAGAGAATTCATTCTAGAATAAGCTGTAGATTTAAAATAACATAACTCTTCCAGAACAATTCAAGATGGGAAATTATTCCAGAAGAGCTGCTGCAGAACAGGTGATTCTGGTGCAGACCAGCTGAGATGCATCTTCCCAACCAGCAAGATTTCGACCCCGCTCCCAGTCAGACTGTACAATGCAGTCTTGTGCTGTTGTCACAGTAGGTATCTTCCTTAACCATAAAGAACAAAGTATATCTCACTTTCAAGCCTGTGCCTATGCAAATCTCCAACAAAGCCCTTTGAATATGATCAAGGTTTTCCAGCATCCTTAGAAGGGCAGGTATGCAAACATCCAAAAACTAAATTCAAGATAGGGCTTGAGAAAAGTTGTGGAGAAATAAGGATTTAAAAGAATACTAGAGAAGCCAAAAAATACATACCGGAGGCAGGAGAGCTCTTATCTCAACATACTGTACGTTATCTTCATAGAGCTCCAGCAGCCCCTGGTAGAAATAGGCCTTGAACACAGGTGCATAGCAGATAAGTCCAGAGGCAATGAGAAAGACTTCTTCAAATCTTTTCCAAATGAAAGCCTGAGAAGGGTAGGCCAGCTCAGGGGCATCCGTCACGAGGGTCAAGTTTCTCAGCAAGCTGTAGAAAAGAAGAACAAAGGAGTCAACTGGCTTCCAGCATGCAAAAAGCTGCTGGCGTGCAGCTGGGTGTTCGGTACAGGAGGAAATAGGATTCCTTCAAGATAGGTGTAAGTTTTATTGTGAGACACCAAGCTTTACAGACGTGACACTCTCCCACCCCCATGCTCTGGGGTACAGCAGGGCAGTGGCTGTGCTCAGGGAGGTGTGTATTCTTTGGGCAGGACCAACAAAAGGTGCAAAGCCGTCCCTACCACAATAGGAGCCAAATACCTAACTTGGAGCCTGTTGGCACTGCAATATATATAGGCATAACAATGACTGGTGCAAGTAGGAAGTGTTCAGGTCATTTTTCTGACACCCATATTTACTCCTCTAATGGCTGGTATAGATAATAGCTGTACCCTCTGACAGGTAAAAAGTCATACACTACATGTTGAGCTACATGCTTGGTAAGACTAGATGTTCAAAGTACCCAGCCCTTTCTTTTTTGAGGACAAAATCTTAAGGAGTAATGGACTTACAAAAGAAAGTATGATGTTTTTATATCACAAGAATTGCAGTCTTCTACCCAGGGGCATCCTTAATCTGAAAGTAAGCTAGTGCATTACTCCTGCAGACAATATATTCTCCCAAACATCTCCAATGAATGTGAAATGTTACGACACCTGGCCCTCTGTTCAGCCTAAAGGAAGAGTCTCCAGGAGATGCCATGTAGTGACCCACCATCAGCCTGCTTACTAACCCTGTAACTTTGCCTGGTACCTTTGTATTGTCAAAATATGTCACCTAATATACACAGGGAGAAAATGAGTGTAAATCAGAAATCCTTTCCACCTTCAGTGGAACAAACCTGAAAACTGTGGCCTTAAACCTTAAACCAATTAAACCTTAAAGTGGAACAAACATCTCACTACTTAAAGGGGGTCTGTAGGAGAGATGGGGAGGGACTCTTTATCAGGGAGGGTAGTGTTAGGACAAGAGGTAACAGTTTCAAGCTGAAAGAGGGTAGATTTATATTAGATATCAGGAAGAAACTGTTTACTGTGAGGGTGGTGAGGCACTGGAACAGGTTGCCCAGGGAAGCTGTGGATGCCCCATCCCTGGAGGTGTTCAAGGCCAGGCTGGATGAGGCTTTGAGCAACCTGGTCTAGTGGAGGGTGTCCCTGCCCATGGCAGGGGGGTTGGAACAGAATGATCTTTAAGGTCCCTCCCAACCCAAACCATTCTGTGGTTCTGTGATCCTGCCTGCCTTGCTGATAATGTCCTCAGATTTGTCTACTGGGAAACAACTTATGAGAATCACAGGTCCTGGCTCTTCCTCAGTGGGACAAAGATGGACTTATTTCCTCCATAGTCTCAGCTGGAGTAGAAGCCTCTTTCAGAAATCCAGAGAGGCAGCAAGTAGTGTTATCAAGGAGAGTTTAAAGGAGCCAGTAACTGCAAGATTATCTAATTGCAGGTGACAGCTTGCATTTAGGACAGGGTGAACATCTGTGCTGCAACACTGTCCTCTGACAAGCTGATAGCCTTTGTCCCACATGAAGCCTTGCCTCTGGCAACAGCTCTCCTCCCTCTGCTGGAAGCCACCTGAAGAAGAGTTTGTAGTAAATTTCTCAGGCTGGTGGGTAAAATCTAAAAGGCAATATGGGGGGTGATTAACTTAGTTCCTGGGTGGGGAAACTGAAGCTATGGAGCTGGTTGCTTGCAGGTGAGTGGGTTTACCAGATGCTTCTCTAGTGTGATGGGCTAAGCAGGTTCAGTAGAAATATCTTCAACCATGCTTCATCTTTCACCCAAGTATATTGTTTTTCCTTGATAACAGCTACTGATCTTTAATAATGTTTCATGTTTGATGTCTTGCCCCCCATCCTTGTGTAGTGATCTGCTCTGTTAAATGGGAGATGTGCGTTTGATTTGTGCTCTTATTATCTTCTTTCAGGAGGCTTCTGGGGATGGAATTAAAAACCTCCCTCCTACAGATGTAAAATGTGATCTGGTCCAAACTCATAAACTAAGACATCCTGGGCAGGGACATCCCTTTTGAGTCCCTCCATAAAACAGAGCCCATTCCCCCAGCATCTGCCTCCTGTTACACGCTCTAAGGACCTTCTTCCAGCAGCTGCAGTTTCATTTCTTCTTCCCTCTCTTAATTTCTTTGCCAGGAACAATTTTAGAAAGAAAAACTGTACATAAAGAGATGCTCGTACCACATTAAGGATGAGATTTTAAATGATCAACAGTCAGGAAAATTCAGAGTTAAGTTTTCCACAGAAACTTTGGCTCTGCCCTCCCATGCATTACAGTAGTGGGGTTGGTGCCATTATCACAGGACACTGGGCGACAAGTAATCCATGCACCCAAACAAAGCCAGTTGGACCATGGCTGGGCTGGTAGCATTTCAGGCAGGCAGTGGAGATCATGCAGCGGTGGGAGACACCATAGCATCACCCTAGAAACCAGGAATGTGGGAGCCAAGGGCGTCTTGAAGGTGCTGATCCATCTGCTGGAGTGGAGAGGGTGTGCTGTAGCTTCATGGGGAGGGGAGAGAAGGCTTTGTGTGGGAAGATCTGGGGAAAGTAGACTTGTCCACTCCCCTCCTGGCCTCAGTCCTGGCTGAAGGGCAGCTCCCCGCCAGCCCTGCACGCCAGTGGAGACACCTGCCTGAAGCCGAGAGCCAAGCAGGGCTGTTCCCACCAGCCCTGCAAGCACCAAGGGGAAAACCTCCCCGTGGATCAAAAGGCTCTGCAAGCCTGTTCTCGCCGCCCCGCGCAGCTTCATTTCAGATAAGAATGGGTGGTTAGTTGGGCTCCCATCTCTCTTTCCCCTTGTCCTGTGAGAACTCAGCTCCTCCAGCGATGAGCGCACACAGGGCTCCACTCCCTGCCTTTAAATCTAGCTGTACAAACTTGTGGTTGTTTACTTAGCCTGTGCTCTAGGGCTAGAAACAGCAATAAATCCCCACACTGCCCTGCTCCTAAAAGCACATAAATCACATCGTGCTTTTTTTATAATCCCCTTTCCTTTGAGACTGATTATTGATCCCTATAACTGTTGAAGATTTATTGTGTAATAGTGATCCATCCTTGATAACTGGATAATCTCCGAAGGGCTCGGGGCTTTTGCCTTCAGTAGCTCATGCAGATGAAGCAAAGCTTCATAAATACATTTTTTGCTTCTTTTCCAGAATGGGCCTTCGACAGTGATCAGGTGCAGACTACAAATAGCCTTCCATGTCATGTCATATATGCACTGAACAATGCTATTGCAATGCGTATGCCCAAAGGGGCGCAGCTAAAACCACAACCTAAGGATTATTTGTTTTCAACTGTGGTTTTGCTTTCACTTTTCTTGGTTTTTTTTTAACCTGTATTACTTTCTTGTGCTATACAATGCAGAAGCGAATGGTTTTGTTGCCTTGTTTTTAAAGGGATTCTTTTTCCTGCCTCTTTTTCTATTCTTGATGGGTAATTATACCCGTCTCCTCACCGTAGTATCTGAATGTCTTCCAGTGGTGCATTAAATAGTGTGACTAACATCTGTCACATGTGGTTCATTCGCTTTCTCTCTCTCTCTTGTCCCCTCTTCTTCCCCCCAAGGGGAGACTTGTAGCAGAAGCAGAGTGCTTTGTTTCTGTAGTGGGTTTTTATTATTTCTTTTTTTTTCCCCTGAAATGCACACACTGCCCTATTTTTCTGTTAGATAAGGCAGTTGGAGGACATGGAGGGGAAGGTGATGGCAGTCCAGGCAGCCATTAGTGCCCAGGGGAGTTGTGCTCCCAGCCTCGGCCATGGTGTCAGCTCCCTTACAGATGACTTCATCCTGGTGATGGAGAGCTCTGCTGGGCTGCCGGAGCTGCATTGCTGGGCATAGCCTTCATCCTTGGGCTGCTGCCGGGGGGGTGCAGTGTGGTATTTTACAAATATCTGGAATGTCAATGCTGTTTCCCGAAATATCTAGGGGCACACTTGTTGTGAGCTCTTGCTTTAGAGACAGTGGCCACTATGTTGCGTCTTGAGGAAAAAAAAAATTGCATTCTCCTATATCATAATTGATTGTGAAGTAAATAAGGGAGGATTATTTTTTTCTTTTAATTCTCAGAGCAAAATTCCCTTCCTTTCTCTGTCTCCTGGCCTGCAGTCTCCTGACTCTCATAATAGCATCCTTCTGGAAGCTTACCAGTAACAGAATACTCCAGGGTCTTGGCCCGTAAGTTGTGTGTTTTGAATAGGAATGATTAAACCTTCTTTTGAGGGAAACAAAAAGACTTCCTTCCAACACACAGACATTATATGTATGTGTACCTAAAAATGCAAAGAGCAAGAATGCAATGCAGATACCTCTCTCCCTTACCCCTTCCTGGTCAGGAATGCAATAAGGTGAAAGAGGTGCAGCCTCTTGGAAACATTTTCATTGTTCCCTTCACATTCACTGATCCACCCTGTCTTGCATGAGAGCCCTTCCCTGCTGCCATATTCCCCTGATACTTTCTTGAAACCACCCAACTATCCATCCGTTCCTTCCTCTGACATCTGCTTTCTCTCAGCTTGTCAGTGCTCAAGGGCAAAGAGGAGCAGGAAAGAGGTAGCCTGGGATGCACATGTTCAAGAGACTGGGAGAGTTTCCAGAAACTGAGAAGCAGAACAGATTGGGGCCTATTCCTGGCTAGAGACCTATTTCCAGACGGCCAAAAAACATTCCTAACCTCTAGACTAGTACCTAGGGATTAGATGAAAATAGGAGGGGAAGTGCCTCCATGTGGCTGTTGTTCATGTGTTTGCACATTATGTGCAATGACTCCCCTGCGATTTTGTGGTGATGAGCACAGAAGGGCAAGAAATGACGGACAACATACTCAAATGAATAAGTCTGAGCACCCAGGATGTGAGAGATCTGTGTTTGTACTTGGCTCTGGCATGTGTTTGCTGAGGAAAATCACTTCATTGGTCTCTGCCTCGGCTTCCCCTCTGCCCTTGGGGAGATCCTTGTACCAGAGTCTGTCTTCTGTCCCTGTGCAGTGACTGCCACTCTGAAGTCCTGCTCTGACTTGTGGCTACTAGATGTTGTCAGACAACTAATACAAAAGACAGGGAATGTGATAACACTGCCTCTGAAAAGAAGTTGTGTTCCCAAACAGGAATGTAGGGAACCAAAGAATGGTTAATAACAGCTCCACCCTCCTAGCTGTTTAGGATACTGTGGCCTCTAACCTCAGCCAGAAAGGGACGTCATGCTATGGAAATACAACTGAAAACAAATACAATGAGGAGTTGCTCCTGAAACAGTTCTGAAATACCCAGTGCAAATGCCTGGGCTTTAAGGGCTTGCACTGTTTCAAAATCCAATCTCTTGCACATTATTTATGGGTCTCCTGGTTGGGGTTGAAGAAAGCTGGTGCTGTGGTCTTTCCCTCCTCATCACTCCCAGTAGAAATGGAAGGGAGCTAATGGGGAACCAGTTTTCTCTTTGGAAGACATAGGTAAGTGACTAGTCACTGGATCTTCTTTCTTCCATTATGTGTGAGGGCAGTTGAGTCTCAGGATATAAAAGGTCAAGGGCCCTGGGTCTGGCACTACTTTCTCCTTCCCTTCTGGACCTCTGTAGAAGAGGGGCAGTGTGTGCCCTAGAGAGTCAGCTCCATCTGCTCTGCCCCTTGCTGTTGTTGGGGAGGGAAGGCAACGCCATGCCAAAGGTCTGGCAGCTCCTCAGCCTTCCAACCTGACCTCCTTCCCAGATCTGCAGGTCACAGAGCCCAGACAGCTTCTATGTTAGGGAGCTGGGATTACCACCTCCCTAAGAGTTAAAGGGTCTCTATTTAAGAGCACACCCTCACTGAAGAGCAATACAGTAAAAACCATCAAATTTAACTTAGGAAATGTCATAATTAGGGTCACCTGCATCACCTGAATCCAGCCTTCCCCTCGTGTGTTGGCATGGCGATACTGTCTTTAATTACGTGACACCCTGTACTACTTTTTTTTTTTTCCATGAGACCCCAGCCCCTGGATGACCACGGATGGCAGTGCCCTCTAAACGGATCACTACTCAGTATTTTCCTTTGTCCTCATTACTCAGTGTCTGACTTCATGCATTATTTAGCGTGCACTCTCCAGCCTCCCTCACGCCCCGCAGAACTACATGCTTCCTCCTGGCCTTTTTGGCAGGACTTTGTCCCAGGATCAGCAGCCTCTGGATGGAGAGACAGGACTCTTTCTTCCTGCCATCACTAGCTAGACAGGGACACAGGCTATTCCCACCTTCCTCTAAGTGATTAAATGGTAGGTGGCTGCTGAGCAGCCAACAAACACCTGGTCCTGGTAAAAGGCTGCCAGCAGTTAAAAGTAGGAGCTGCCTGCAGGGAAGGGAACTCCTGCAAGATAGTGAGTGATACCTTGGGAAGCCATCTGAGATGCGAGCTCCTGGGTAGCTATAGGATGCCTTGCCTGTAAGGGCAGAAGCTTTGTTAGCAGGAAGATGTCAAGGAGGGAGTGCTGCCAGGCAGAGGACCCGTGTGCAGGGTTCATTGGCTCAGCCTGTGTCCAAGCTGAGATCTCACCCCTCCTCTGAGAGCAGGAGGGCAAGTCACAGTTCCTGGTGCCTGAGGGTCCTGTTGGGAATGAGTGCCCCACACTTCAGCATGGTGGATGCCAGCAGGGTTTCAAAGAGTGTCCTCTGAAAACAAGGATGGAGTTTGGAGGGGAAGGCTGGGTTGGGTTTTCTTTTGAGTTTGAGTTTTATTTTTTGCTAGTGCAGTAATTTTACCATAACTACTTCACCCAACTTCTTTCTCTGAGTCAAAGCAATGACTTTACAAATGACTTTTCTGCTGTTGGGGAGAGCCCATTCCTCAGCTACTTGACTTCCTCATCTCATTCCTGGGTACCTTGATGGATGAGGAAAGGTCCTTCACCATGCAGCTCTGTCCCATGCTGGGAGCACATCCAGCCTGGGTGCTGAGGAGAGTTGGGGGCAGGTCATGTAAATCTACTTAAACCACTGTCTTCAACACATCCATGCAAAGGACCAAAGTGAGGGTGCACAGGAAACTTCAATTTTTTTTCTCACTCTGGTGTATCAGTGCTGCAACCTTCAAGCTCTTGTATTGCTATTTGCATGTTCTGGGTACACAGCCCTAACTGGAGTCCCCCACTTCCAGAGCAGCAAGAAAGTGGGAAAAATGGACCAGAATGATCCTGCAGGCTACACAATGCTATCATGAAGTACCAGCAGACTTGCAGCTCCTCTTCACTCACCTGCTATCGAACTCGGACACATTGTGCAGCTGTTTCCGGTAAGTCTCCAGCAAAACCCACTGGGAGCACTGGGCTGGCACTGGGTGAAGAAGGTGAGGCTTGGAAAAGCGAAACCGAACGGTGCCCATGTGGGTGAAGCAGATGTAGCAGTCGGGGAGGTAGGTGGCATTGTACACCAGCCAGTCCACGCTCAGGATGGCATAGTCGTGCAGGTGTAAGACAGCACCTGGTGGGAAGAAAAGTATATCCTAATGAGACAAGGCAGTTGAAAAGAAGGAATAGAGTTTTAATGTGATAATAAGTTGAGTTTGCCTATCCAGGGGCATCTGGAAGTGCTTCTAGATGGCTGTGAGTGACCTCTCCCAGCAGAGATGGAGTGGCTGCTCTGACTCCCCTGTGCTGGGAGCCCCTTCCACATCAAATGAGGGGCAGACAGAGTGTGACAGCTCCATGGGAGTGGAGGGAGGGGGGAAATCAATAGGGAGCTCTGCTTCTCCACTGGGATGGAAAATGCTCTGAGTTATTAAAGGTCTTTCAGACAGACTTTGCTGTGCACTGGCTCAGGCCCCACTGATTTAAAGAGGAATTCGCACAGCAGGCAGCAGTTTACAAGGCATACTAGGTGACTGGCAGACCTGAAGCAAGCCTCTGTATCTAAGATGTTTGAATCCCAGCCTCAATTTTTACATCTAGTCTATGTCTCTTCTTTCATCTCTTTGAAACTCTAGTGTACACCAAAATCCCAGACCATGACACACCAGGGAATTGCACTCAGATGCAGAAGTACCATCTACTTCTATCCCTTATCAAAAGGCATGCTCGCTTACATTGTGCATCTGTTGCTGGCCAGCACGGAAGGCCTTTGGGATGCTCTGTTATTGTGCGGTATGTTGGCAACTGCCAGTCTTCCTGGCATAGGAAGCATCATCTGCATGCTTGCCTTCCTCAGCCCATCCTTTTGTTTTCCTAAAATCTCTCCCTTTGTAGAGACTTCTTACCGTGTTTCTGCTTGAACTAAACTTCACCTTTGTTAAGGGAGGATACTGTGAGAGCTAAAGCCTTACAGACGTGTTTTATTAGCCTAGGGGAGATTTCATAGTCAAAATAGCTTTGATGCCCTTAGGAGTAAAGGGAGAATATGAGTAGGAGGAACAAAACCAAAGACTGGTATGCATGTGACTTTAGACAAACTTCAAGACTATAATCTGTAGTGGACTAATCTAATGTAGACTATAATGTCTATGATCTCTCACTACAGAGGGTCTGACTGTTAAGATGCTGAGCAACTGTGGTTACTGATGTCACCAGAGCTAGTGTGACAGGATGGGCATGCCACAGCTTTCTAGATCTGACCCTCCTCTTGCTGGCAACACCACCCTCTTTCCTATGTGAGCAGCAATAGAAATTACAGTAGTGCTTGGAACAACAGTAAATCCCAGGGGCTTTGATGAAGACTGAGGCCTCTATGACTAGGTCCTACTCAAGCAGTTACAAGAATGTGATTTGGCCCTAAAACCTTACAGCTCCTGCAGAGATTCTGAGAACATATTTTAATATCTCCTGTATTGAAAAATGTTAATTTTTTGTTTTGATTCCTCTTTGTTATCAAAGCTACCCCATAGGAGGTGAAGAGGGGGGTACTTTTAAATTCTTTACTGTTCAATTCAGCAATGAAAGGATAATGACAATTCTGACATGCCAATCATTTATAGTAACAGATTAGGATGCTGCAAGCCAGGGTTCCTCATCCCATGCCAGAGGCTGGGAGGGAAAAACTAGGAAGTGAGGAAGATGGCTCTTATCCATGTGCCAGTGTCACAGCCTCACAAATGAAAAATGCTGAGGAGTCAAGACCTTCCCCCTGTGATCACCTCAACCTCATGCCTCTCTGCTGAACTGTCAGCAGCTCAGAGGCATGGAGACATTAGGCTTCCTGCTTACCCAGCCTAGGTGGTTTGGATTTCACCTTGGCTAAAAATATCCTCTCTCCCTTTTCATTGCAGCCCAGAGTACTAAGTTTTCAGATGCTGCTGTGTCCCAGCTGCTTGTCAGAGGATGCATAGGATGGTACAGTGAAGGTATTGGAAAATCTCATACTACTGTCTAACCTAAAACAGTCCAAATGCCTTTAAAGCTGTGTCTGCTGCAGAGTACAGAAACCGTTTTGGTATAGGGCGTGGCAGCATATTGCAGCAAGCACATAGCTTGCTGCACAGCAGGGGAGAAATGACGTTGCTAAAGACAAGAGGAGAAACGCCTGCCCTTATACACAGACATCTACTATAAGTGCACAGACCAGAACCTGATTAAGAAAGATCAAGTGAGAGAATACAGTATTTTTTATATCGTATTCTATAGGTCACATCAACACAGGCTTTGACTTGCATTCAATAAGTAAAGAGCCTTGTGTTGTTGGAGGTAGCACCTTCCTCTTCTAGTGCCCTCAGACTTTCCAGTAGACTTCCAGGTCTGCTACAGAACCACCTGCAGAAAGACTTATTGGAGGATACAGCATTTTTATCTAAGATGTAGGCTAAGACAAGGTTGGTAGCATGTCTGTGGTATGTGTATGTGGAAAAAGGAAAGGGCCTGGCTGGAACGTGCTGAGCAAATGTGGATGTCTGTGGCATCTTGTTTTTGCTTCCTCTGCCCGCTCTCCACACTTGAAAGTCTGAAAGATCCATATTGTAAGTTATACCAAATGCTACAATTGCTGGAAATGTGTATTCATCCAATCCATCCCCTTCTTCCTCTCTCCGCCTGTCTTGTCCCCAAGCTCAGAGGCAGGGCTCTTCTTAGAAGCCAGCGAGCACAATTTACAGCTCTTGTAAGCTTGTCTGCCGCATCTCGCACTTTGACCCAGCTCTGCCATAGAAAGCAAAAGGCGAGAGGAGGGTGAATAAGATGAGCAATCCTTGGGCCAAACCTACCTTTTGGCATGCGCTTTAAGATGCTGAACACCGTGCTCTGATCAATGAGTCCTTTTGCCTGAAAGAAGTGCATGCTCGGAGGAAACTGTCCTGTAGTTATGGCTGTTGCAATCTCCTTCTTCTTGAGGTTGACAAGCTTTGTACTGAGCTGCTGTTCCTCTCTACTCAACACCAAATTGCCACCCATCTGATCAGCTTTCTCCTCCTGCATTAGGGAGTCCCGGTCCTTCCAGAGTGGGGTGGGAAGACAGAGGGAAGCCAAATTCAGGAGAAGGTATGCCAGCCTTATGCCTTGCCCAGGTGGAAGCTTCATCTTAGAGCTACACCTAGGCAGGGGGAGAAGATTGGAGCATTAGGACAGGTCGGAAGGTGATATCTTTGCAATGACCCATTGGGACATTAAACCGTTGGTCCATCCTGCAGAAGTAGTGGGTTAATTGGATGCTGAGTATTGGGGGGAGCATCTGGTATCAATGTCCCCTGTATTTAGGGCTTTGCATTTGCACACTCCCTGTGATGCTGATTGCACACAGTAAGACTGTGGGCAGGGTGAAGAGGAGATATTGCTCCTTGGATCAGGCTGGCAGCACATCATGCAGACCTGCAATGTGGCAAAGATCTATCCCTGGAACAGGGGATTGGTGAGGTCAGGACTCTGACTTGCAAGCTGGGATGGAGCCCCCTGAGAATAAGGGGTGCTGGTGACAAGGTCCTGGCCATGCTGGTAGTGTCCCAGGGGGGAAGCAGGGGGCCATAGCACTTGAGGTTCTTTTGGGTTTTGCTTGAGCTAATGAGATACTGATTAGTCAAGAGAAGAACTTTTTGCACCCTTATAGTATATTCCAGATATCAGAGGGGTTAACTTATGGGCAGAAAACCCCACCACTTCCTCTGCAGTGACAGAGGTGTGTCCCTTCCTTGCGATCCCAGAAGAAAAAGAACGGAAGGGAGACCATGGGAATAGTAAGAGATCACAGGAGACAGGCACATGTGAACTCTGAGAACTCTGCCCTTCCAAAAAAAGCACAGCTGCAATATGATCCTTCAACGCCAGTCTGTGTTTAGTGACCCTCCAAACCAATCTCTCCAGACCAAAGCAGACTGGAGAAAGGCTCAACATTTTGAAATGGTCCCCTGTGAATTATATAGTCCCTGCTTGCACATGTCATGCTTCCAGTCTTTCCTCCACCCGTGGGTCCACCAGGATGCCCTCAGCCCCACCAGTACATCCCAGGAGACAAAGACGTGGGGGAGCAATCCGCTGGGAACAGAGGGGGTTAGACACAGCCCCACATCAGGCCTGGCTCTGAACTTGGAGAAAGAAACATCCTAAAAAGTGCTATCTTATCCCTGGTGAGACTGACTCACTTACTGTTAACTTTCCTCCTCCTCGCATCCAGAGCTCATCCAGCTGCTGCCCGAGAGAGCAGTGAACAGTTATCTCTCTTGCAAGCCGGCACTGTCCCAGCAAAGATAAAGAGGCAGGATCCGTCCCAGCAGTGCAGAGTGAGGCACCCACCAGCGCAGACAGTTCCTCTTCCTGTGCTGCCGCTCAGGCTTGCTCAGCTTTTATTTATCCCCGTCCCTACTGATTCGTGAATATATAAAGAGGAGGAGGAGGAGGGAGGGGAGGTTATGAGAAAGCAGGACAGAGGCGCCCTGGCAGGCAGCTGAAGGGAGCTGGGCTGGGAACCAGGGGGCCAAAGCAGTGGGGTCACCTAAAAGAACCCCTCTAGCTCCCACACAGAATAGAAGTGGACTCTTTAACCCATCACTGCCTGCCTGTGAGCAGATCAAGCACTTGCCTATGCAGCCCTCCCATGTACCCTGATACACATACACAGCTTTTAAATATCCTGGAAGAAACTCTTAGGCATGCGTTCCCGGTACTGGGGAGCTCTTAAGCCCCACTCAGGCTGTCCCAGGAGTACATGTGAGCTTGGATATCTAATCTGCTGTAGAGTACCATGCATTTAATGCCAACAACACTGCAAACTCTACTTACTACAGGGTTTTTGTCTGAGAAAACAGTAAAAGTAGATTTAAATTATTTTGCCCAGTCTTTGCCAGCTCTGTGAACCAGGCAGGTGTCAATCCAACTGGCCACACTGGGCCTGCATTGGGCACACAGGGCTAAGCTTGTGCTTGGGCAGTAAATCAGGTGGAGGTGGGGATGGTTTGATTTTTTTTTTTTTTCTTAAATCACAGATATTGTAATTTCACTGTTTTATTTTGCACAGTTGAATGGACTGAGTTTTAAAGTTATTTAAAACAGATGTTATATAAACAGCTTCCAGTGGAGAACAAAGTCCTTTTGGTTTAATTTAATCAAAATTTTAACGATCTTAATTTTTGTAATAAGAAAAAGAAAGATCTCGTAAGCCAAGAGCTATTGAAAACAACCCACAGCAGTCACAAAGATTGTTTTTGAGGCAGAGAAAGTAGAATCTGGTCAATAATATGTTAAATTTAATTAGCTGGCATCACTGCAACAGATTGAAAGTGGGGTGGACAGACCCCCTGAATATCCCAGCTGGACACTGGCCAGCTTTTCCTCCTTTCCTGGTCCCTTCACACTTTACTGTCACCAAGATCAGTCCCAGGATCCATGCAGGGATCAGCCAGGGTTCCCAAATTTTCTCCAAGCCTCAGCCAGGGCAGCATGTCAAGAGGGTGGCTGCAGCTCCTTGCCTGCTCCTCAGCAGGACGGGGTTTTTCTTGAGTCTCGAGATGATCCTGCTGCCAAAGGGAGATCGGAGGAGCAAAAAGATGACCCAACTATACTCTGCAGCAACTATTAGTTGATGAAAGCAACCCAAGGACAGGAGGTATGGGGAGGGACTGCAGAGGAAAACATGTGGAAAAGGGA